CGCGTCCATTTTGAGGATACGAGTCTGCACGCATGTCTAGATTAAGTCACAAAATTTTCAGTCTTGTAGCTTTTGTGCATCTCGAGATGAGAACTCGTTACAGACGCACACACAGACACACATACACACACACAGACACACACACACACACACACACACACACACAGACAACCCCTCGACAATATGCGTTTTTGCATTGCATAGCTGCAAAAAACGCATAAAAAGGAACAGATAAACTTAGATTTATAGCATTTCCGATAACATGTCAAACCGGCAACAATCATCGGCATCCGAACTAAGCAAGTTTCAAAAAAAAGTAAGTGATGGGGAATCAAGAACAACGTAAACTTGGCGTCCTGTCGTCTTTCTCTTTTCACTGCCATTAAGCAGTGCGGCCGTCATACTGACGAGGCCCTGTCGCGGTGTTTAATTAAAATGTATACGACTTAAGGGGCCGGAACGTCTTATCTCACTATTACCTTCTTTCACACTATTCCTTCATGCTATGATCTGTCGTGCCTTCGCGATTTGGGCTTTCGAGGTCAACATGGTTGATACAATCGGCTTATTGCTGTTGTTTCACACAATTTATGACCGGCAAAAGAACTACATCTAAAAGCACAGTAATTACCCGAGTAAAGAATCACTGGGATATCTCGGATGGCTCAGATTTATAATGCGATGCGACACCACTGCGGCCTTCTTGAATGCCAGTATTTTCAACAGCATAACCATCATCAAGTCCTTTCCATGTCCTTCCGGAAAAATAATCGCCTAAATAATTCAAGAATTTACAACAGAACTTCGGCTGCAATACGGACATGTTCGCACCTCAGGACATATTTTCTCATTAGGTTCTAGTTCGAGGAATCGAGGGCGAATCATGAGATTGTTCGAGTTTTTAAACGTGGTGAACAAGTGTGTGTGTGTGTGTATGCGTGTGTGTGTGTGTGCGTGTGTGAGGTGCGTGCGTGTATGTGTGTGCGTATATGTGTGTGTGCGTGTGTGTGCTGCATTATCAGCCGTGTTTTTGCTTTTGGTCAAAATTATAGCGGAAAATCAGCGCATCTTTTAAGCAACATTCGGCAGAAGGGTTCACTAAAAGCCTTGTCAGCTTGCACAGGAATGTACTCACCAAGTCAAGACAGTTGCCTTTGATACTTTCCGTTTTTTCTAAGAAATGGATGAAGACACGCATTTTGTGGACTCACCTTCATCTTTTCTTCGGCAGTTCCCATCCTCCGACCCTCCCCTCCTCCTCCCGCCTTCTTCTTCCAACCCCGTGCTCCCCCGCCCCAACCCCCC